GTTCGCCGGCTGTTTTTGGATATTCGGGTTTCCTTGCCCACTGATTCGCTTTGCTTCCGTAGCCGTGTGCTTGACTTTGCTGTGGTCTTGGCGCACCAAATTGGTTTCGTTGCTCATATTGGCGTCTTCTTTCAATGTCCGCCGTTCTTCTACTTTCAAACTGGATTGCTAGCTCAAATAACTTTTCCAGTGTAGTCGGATTCCTTAATTCAATAAAGTCTTGTACTTGGGGAAGTAACCTCGGCAAAATCACTTGAATTATCTCAGGATCCGGACGGTTTCCATACAAGAGTTTGAAGACGTGAATTTTTCTTAAAATAAAGCTTGAGAGATTTTCAATTCGTTTGCTGGTATATGCTGAAAAGTTCCGTTTCTAATTTGCACGATCCCTTACGACAGGGAAGGCTTTTACTAAGGGCAGTCTTGAAATTTTCGTAAGTATAGGTGGGACTTCCCGCTTGACCCAAGAGACTTCTGCCTATACATTTGAACCAATTAAGCGCTTGGCCCCTCAAAGCGCTGGTAGCTAAGGTGACTTTCTGGAACTCATGCACGGGATACATCATGAAGTGGTCCTCCAATTTTTCCAAAAAACTGGTTACCGGTGAGTTTCCATTAAATGTTGCTTCTGGTTTCATCGATGCGCGCATGGTCTGGACGATGTAACCAAATCCTTCCAGGGCGGCAGCTGGCATTTCTGGATTCTGAGCCGCTTCTGCAGGCAGCACAGGTTCTTCTTGAAACTCGGCCATGGTTATCTTCGTCGGGCGCCACTATCAGGTTCAGTATTCCTCCTTACTTGCTTGGGGAACATTAAATGACCTGACTCGAACAGGGAGCTTACTAAAGCTATGTTCAATAAATGTGGGAAGTAGACAAGATACACAGGAAGGGTATACGAAACCCTTTATTTTTTCTCTCTTTACAATAATTTCCGGACTTCGGAATACAGAGACCAACCACTTGTGGTCTGAACGTAAGAATATAAAAATATTAACTAAATTCTAACTAAACTAACTTTGGATTAATAAACAAGTGTCTACTTGAAGATTGGCCGTATATTAACAGAAAGGCCGTATGTAGTACAGAGAACTGTTAACACTACGATACGTTTAAAATTATCAAGAGGATTAAACCTCTGGCCTTGAAGGCAACCAGCAACCGAGTAAAACTGCTATGGCAAGCGGCCTGCTCCTAATCACTCCTTCCTCTCTCTTGCTTGGCAAAAAGCCACAACTTAAGTACTTGGCGTTCGCAAGACAAATTTGCATAAATAAGTTAAAGCTTTTAATTCTGGCCGCAAGTAGAAAACAAGAAATGATAGTAAAGATTTAAAATAAAATATACGTTAGTAAAACTTAAGATCCTTACAAACTGATTGGGTTACTAAAGAAATACAAGTGAAACAATTCCCAGCCAAGCTACGTATTATGTAGCTTGAGGAACATCTTTTTGTAACTATAATAATACTTCGAATGATGACCAAATTTCATTCATTTCAAAAATAATTACTTCGATATATTATAAAATAAATTACTTTGAAATGAAATGAATTAGAAATATTACTGAAATATAAACTAAATCATTATTGAAAATATAAAAGATTAAAATCATTACGGAGTGCATTTATTGATTTAAAATCGCTCAATTTATAGGTAACGTGGTCTTAATTTGAATGATAAATTAAAGCTATTGCGTCCCTTCGAATGCCTGCGTTTTGTAAACTGGCTTTTTGCTAACATGTGTGAGAATAAATAACAGATTCTATATTTCACGAAACAGTGAAATTTGCCTAGGGATGTGGCTCATAAACGCATTGTAGCATAATATAACACAATGGTGCACAACTTCGATAAATATTTGATTAAAAACGTTTTCGATATCAAAACCAAAGCGTGGTACGTTGAATCACCGCAGTTCAAGAACCATTAGTATCACCATTCACACAGTGAAAAAAAACCATGCTGGTTGTATAGAATTCCCAAGGTTTTCGTAGAAAGTCCTCTTCTCTGTCGCTTTAAATAACCATCGAATGCTTTGCCACGATTGATTAAAAATGTGAAAATATGATAAGTAGTTAAAAAGATAGAAATATCCTCGTCAAATACCGTAACAATCAACACTGTTTGTGGATCCTTGTATTAGAATTAAAAATAAAAAAATTAAAAAATATATATATATAAAACAATGCTCTATCAGGTATGCAATGTTCTATTTTAGGAGAATCTTTTATAATTGGAATAATGTTGCAGAAGTTCATAAAAATTATCATTTGGGCTTATTATATATTTTAAGTATTTAAAATTACATGAACTAAATTTATTAAAATAAAATTAAGCCAAACCGTTGACTGACGATGTAGGGCAGCTTAGGAATTTTAGATTGATTATTAAAATAAAATTAAAGCGAAGGCCACTGACCATTGGTCACCTGATTTAAAGGTTGATGGTGATTGGCCGTAAATCTATAGGTCATAGGTGTAGTTAATAACGTCCCGCACTAAAGAGCATCGAATGTACAAAACAGTATACTAGAATTGTGCGTTCATGGAGCTTCAGTGCTTTTAAACGGCTGGAGTTTAATCTGCGGGTGTATTACTACAAAGATGTTTTTCTAATATATGATACCAGGAACTTCGGCGGGCTTCGGACTGACGCCAATCTTATCAAAAGACTTGTAAAATATACAGAAGAAGTATTTAACCTACTTTGTTATGACTATTCCACAATTAAAAGGAACGTCAACTGGAACATGAGAGAATACCCAAAAATATATTTATTAATAAAAATAATAAAGAAACACTATCTGAACATTTATCAGATCGCAGTACAGAATCCCTAGAATATGCACATATGGCTCTAAAATTAACGATACTTTGGGATGCGCATTTATTTTACTGGAAGGTGATTCTATAAAATACCAAGTGAATGGTCATTTTGACAATGAAAATAACACATTTGTAGAGACATTAGGTTAATTGGAAAAGCCGGAGAAAAGCCGGAAAAGCTGGAAAGAGATGAAAAATGAGAAAACGTCTTCGCCAGGAATCGAACCACTGACCTTTGGAAAACCGGTCCAGCGTGCAGAACCACTACACTACGAAGGCCCGCTAGGAAGGCGGGAGAAATACCTTATATACTCCCCCTTTTAAAGGGCTACTGGGATTTTTAGGGGATCCAGTCGCCAAATCCTGGGTGAGGAGAATCATCATCCAACACACTTTTAGTTTGTGTGCCACTGTAGACACATTAGGTTAATTGGAAAAGCCGGAGAGATGAAAAATGAGCAAACGCTTTCGCCGGGAATCGAATCACGGACCTCTGGAATACCGGCCCAGCGTGCAGAACTACACCATGAAGGCACGCTAGGAAGGCGGGAGAAATACCTTATACATTCCATGCAAAAGCATTAGCTATATTTAAAGCAACTGAATACATTGTAAACAATAATTCTGCACTTATTAGGAAACAGCAAAAGAATTCATGTCAATAATTCCTGAATAAAAGCTCATACTAGATCACATGGTAACGATTTGGAGGATCAGTTACCAAGAGAGGCTGCTGAAAATTATGATGCGGAATATGCTGTCATACCTTGGCCTAGATCACATATTAAAAATATCTCTTGACAATAGAGCTAAGAAAGTGCAAGAATTGAGTTTCTGTGATTGAGGCTGACTGATCATTATGTCTGCCGAGGCATTAGATCTTCAGATAATTAAGTGACGGAATGTCCCTTAACAAAGAATACTATATAAAATTTCTGTGGCTAATTTCATTCCTTTCAAAAGATTTCTTTTTAAGCAACGAATATCTTGTTCTTAAAATTTGTAAAATTATGAATCTAACTTTTGCATCGGGAGAAAGTATTTGCCATCCAGCTTAAAAATATAGTAGCATATTTACTTCTTTAAAATTTTATTATTTTATTTATAAGCTCACATGCAGTAACTTTATGTTATGAGCATAAGGTGAAAAGGCTTAATTAAGACATTATAATTTTTTTGTATGATCGATTTTATGAATATTTGATCAAACCATTTTGACACCATGGACATGATTAGGAACTTCATAGTGATAAAGCTGAAATTATTTTAGAACAACGAAATACTCATCTCGTCAATCCTTACTGAGAGTGATGATCCCAAACACAATAATATGAAAGGTTCTGAAAAATGTTTTAGCTGAAAATATAAAATTATTGCACATGACTCATAAATTGGTTGGTCTAAATTATTATAATATTCTGGTAATGCAAGCTCATCTTCTATACTACAAAAAGTGTGTCAGGCGTTTCGCTGTTGGATAGTAAATAAAAGTATATCTCATTTAAGAACTAGTCGAGTTAAGAAAGATTTACACTGGAATGCTTAATAACTCGGATAATAAATAGCATTATTTCAGTAAAAATTAACTTTATTTTAATGCAATTGCATTTAATTTTATTTTTTGATTCCTGTAAATATATTCTTAAATTTATGTTTTTAAATTACCTATTAAAATATGAAAAATTTAATTAATTTTTTATTATTTAAAATTAAAATAAATATAGTTTATGTTGAATGTGGGACAATACCTGTTAACCACTAGTAGAGATCAGGTGTCCTCATTCATGGTCAACGGAAAACTGATATGTAATTTTTCTTTCAAGTTCTATTGTGTTTTAGGCATCAGCAATTTACAATCCACTTCATTATGACAAAGGAACACAGATTATTCAATTAAAATTAACTCAAATCGCACAAGTGATCGTCAAGTGATGACGTAGGGATTAACAGGTAACCAAATATGCTGTATGTTTTGAGTAGTGGCAACACTTAACAAAGCGCGCAGGTAATAAATGAATGGAAGCATAACACAATATAGTGCAACTATTGAAGAAACTTTAAAAAGACACCACCAGAAAATCTTTTAATGTAAAAATTGCTTAGAATTTCATTTATATCTTTATTCATTAAGAAGCATTTTTGTTTTATTGAAGCTATATTTGTTGTTCTTTAGGTGGACTAGCAGCGACGAGGACGTGCACAGGATCGTTCTATCGGGGCGCTACTTGGGGCAGTCCCTCTGGAAAGTGCAACGTACCGCCTAGTAACCTGACCTTGGAGATAAAAAATTTGTACGACGTACGTTCTTTTTCTTAGCAACGTCTCTTTTGCGCTCATGGCTTCAAAGTTAATTTTTACTGAAATAATGCTATTTATTATCCGAGTTAAGCATTCCAGTGTAAATCTTTCTTAACTCGACTAGTTCTTAAATGAGATATACTTTTATTTACTATCCAACAGCGAAACGCCTGACACACTTTTTGTAGTATAGAAGATGAGCTTGCATTACCAGAATATTATAATAATTTAGACCAACCAATTTATGAGTCATGTGCAATAATTTTATATTTTCAGCTAAAACATTTTTCAGAACCTTTCATATTATTGTGTTTGGGATCATCACTCTCAGTAAGGATTGACGAGATGAGTATTTCGTTGTTCTAAAATAATTTCAGCTTTATCACTTGTATTGTAGCCATCAATACTTGTACTTAAGATCCTGAAGATCCTCATGACCTAAAGTAAAACATCGCCCTTCAAAAAATACCTTGCCTTAAAAGATGAAAAAAAGCACTTTTCTTTTAACGGGGCGCCAGCCACCAAATGTGCTCAGAAGTGTCAAATTTGGTAACCTATTTATATCAATCCGTTCTGAAGATGGTCGTTTACCACAGATGATTCCTTATTTAAACATTTTCAGCATAATTTTGTGCACGAGTTCATGTTACAAAACCAAACAGAAATAATTAAATTTAAGATAAGAAACGAAAAACACAATACAAACAGATCAAATAGAAAAAAAGTGTAATTCTACCACACCTGTAAGAAAGAAAATAGATGGGCTATCCTTTCGGGACTTTTCTACTTTGTCTCTTAGAGTCACTTGACTCTGCCTGAGACTCACTATGCCTCTGACTAAAACTTTGTCGAATGTGATACATCTTAAATATAAACGTGGCATTGTAACTAAAAATACTTATGCTTTGGTTAACTAATTTTTTTCAAGGTGTTGTCGTTCTATGCAATCTTCCTTATTGAGTTCGTTTTCGTCGTGCTCTAGTAACTACTTTATGTCTGCATTGTTAACTTACAATGGTTTGCATACAGTCACAGTTTCATAGATAACAAATAAATCCTTAGTGCCAAAATCTTTATATTCTTTGCCTAAAAAGTAGTTTGACCCTAATTCCTCCAATTTATGCTAATTGTTGTCTATTGCAACTTGATACGATTTTTTAAAAGTTTGATGCATAAATCTTTGATTTTTGCTTTATTGCATTCCTATACGGATAAACTTTAGTTGCTCTTTACTTCTTACCAGAAAAATTGCATAAGTAAAAATACTGAGTTAGTGTAAAGTAAAAATACATTATAGGGAATAATAGAATATATCTATAGGTAATAAATGTGCCTCGAAGTAGAAACTTACAATATTTACCTTAATGCAAAACTTTGAATCAAACAGATGTTAAAAGCCTTGAAAATATCAAGAGGTACTACTAAAAATGCTATTTCGCTGAGCATAAAAAGCAAAATTAAGAGCTAAAGGATTCTGTTCCGAAGTACCTAATTATTTTACACCAGAAATACATTTTATTGATTACAGTAATAATGCAAATACTCATAATTATCAACAGAACATACCGCAAAATAAATTTGTTTTTCATTATATGAATTAGATGCATTATTAAAAAATCTGATGTGTATACCACATGACTTTGCACGGAATATTAAATTATACGCATTTTTTGTAGCATTTCATTTAAACTTATTTCCTCGAATTTAGAGTTTCTACACAAAAACAAGCAATTCGGCCAGCGGGCAAGAAGGCAGATTTTTCGATGCATAAAATTTAACAGCGTTACATCTCATTTCTTTTATAACTCAGAATACAAAAAAATTATACCATCTAAAGAATTATCTAATTGTTACCACATGTTCTATTCAAATCTAAAACGATGTGTAAAAGAAATTAAACAAATAAAAATAACAGTTTTCCACAGACGAATCAGCAGTGCGCATGCGCTACTCGTAAACATTCTCATCTGTCTGAAACAGACTGGCGACAGTATTTTCTGCTAATATGAAACAATTATTTCCTCGAATTTCATTAGACATGTATTTTTCATTCAATTAATTCAGTTCTCCCTTCGTAGTAAGGAAAAAATGATAAAAACACAAAATATCTTCATTAAAAATTTAAAGATATAGAAAAACATAAAACACCAAATACAAATAAAACAATTTCTTTTTTAAATTTCACAATTAAAATTACAGTTTCTACGCAAAAACAAGCAGTTCGGCTAGGGAGCAAGAAATTAGATATTTCGGTGCACAAAACTGCATGTTTACTTTTGGTCTCATTCGGCAAAAAGACACTGAGTCGTAGAAACTGATTTAATTTGTTGTGAACGCTATGCTGAGTCAATATATGGGATAATTTAATAACTTAAACGATAATGCTAAAATGGATGAAGCATAATTTAATTTGCAATAATAAAAGAAGACGTTACTTTGTTATTGCGAAGCTAATTTTCTCTAGATTGTCAATAAATCCGCTATTCTGCTAAGTTTAAAATGCAAAAAAATATGGCTGCTACGGTAAAAATAAATTTAGGCTTAGCCGCACTTAAACAACTTTTAAATTGCTCATAATTCTGCAACTATAACATGCAGGTTAATTAAAGTCATAAAGACCTTAACCGAAAGATAAGAATAACATAATTCAATCATTTAAAGCAAAAAATGCATAATATACAAACATATAAGAATAAAGATACTGAGCTCACTGAGCCGATTAAGAGAGTCGATATATATACATATATTTATATACTTTCGGTGCGGTCGATTTGCAACCAAAAAGGGAGGTGCACATCTACATGTTAGAGCAGTCCCACATGCAAAATTTCAACTTTCTGAAGCTATTCGTTTTTGAGTTATGCGAAATACATGCATACATACGTACGTACAAACGCCACGGAAAAAAACTCTTGCGAATTCATTTTCAATCAGTTTCATAATTTCTTTGGACAAAAAGAGTCCTTTACTCTGTCCATTTGCACAGATGTCACGCAAAAACATAGTTAAATTGTATTCAATAGCGATCAAAATGGATATTTTCGTTGAAATATCATACCTGGAATTTTTCGTGGTTACAATACTTTCTTTGCTTCGTACAAGTAAGTAGAAAAGCGCCTTTGTGCGTAGTATAAAATCGGAATATATATATATATATATATATTCCGATTATGCATATATATATATATATATATATATATTTCATTGCAGTAAAGAGCGTTTGATTGAAGTACGCAAATTTCGTGGCCTAACAAAGCAGAAATCTTTGTCACTTCACTGACGGAAAATGTTTGTCGCAATCCTCGTGCTCAAGCGATGCGAAAAAAAAAAAAAAAAAAGGCCGATTCGTTTTAATAATGATATGATTACTTTAATAAATAAGTGTACAGGACTTTCTATAGCGTTCAATTTCGATGGAATAATGTCATAGCACATGTTTGCTCTGTTGTTTGGCATTCCTTTTTGGTTCAAGGCTGCGACTTTATATTTTGTATAGTAGGCTTATGCATAACTGTTTGGATTAAAGGTACAATGAATGCTTGATATTCTCGAATTCAAGTTCTAAATCGGATCTTCATGTAAGTATTATAATAAGAAGAATAAAAGAAAACAAACTCTCGCTTAATTAAAAAAGTTTTAGTTGTAGCAGAGTTTCAAATTTCTGCTTAAAATTAAGATTTAGTTAAAGTTAAAAAATTAAGAATCAATTGCGTAATTTTCGATTATTAATTTAAATTCTGAAATTTACTATAACTTTAAGGTGAATCGCCACAAGTAATTATTATGAGCTTGATGCTCAAGTTCTGATTTGTATATAAAGCTTATTTTAAACTTTTCAGTATTCTGCAGTTTTATTTCGGATACAGCGATAATTCGCTTAACATCTGTTAGGAGTTTGAAACTAGTTTATGCTACCAAAAAAAGTCAGACTCTGTAAAAACAAAGTTAAAATTTTGTAAATGCAATGCATAATTAATACTCTTAAATCTTTTAGCTCAATTTTGTAGTATACGAGGAGTAAATACGTTAATTTATCAAAATACATATAAGCAATAGTTCTAATGTTCTACGCTTTCCAAGAATGTTCTTTTAATCAAAGCACGAAAGCGAGTACAAAGGGGGGGGGAAGGATTATATAAAATTAACATAGATAAGATCATACATTACATACTAAAGATCTAACTCTAAATTTTCTTCAGAAAATAAAAAATATGACACGCAGGGTTAGCACAAAGTAATATTGAAGATCTTCAGCACGAATGAAATTGTTGCAATCATGTTCTTTTTAATTTTATGAACACTTCCATTGGGCATTAATAAAACTAATTTTTCGAAGTTTCGATCCGAGACAATTGCATAGAAGATTTCGTCTTTTTTTCCCTTGTGTAAATTTTAATACGAGACATTACGCGTTAGAAAAATGCGACATCTAGGGCTATTCAGCCTTGGGTAATTACTGTAGTGTGCTTATCTGTAAACAAATAAATTCAGTACAAACTAATTCAGAATTCCACTCTTATATCTGGTTTAGATTAAATTTGTTTTAGGTATTGTTTTCAGTCAATTTTCATTTTTGTTTAAATGAAATTTATCTTACCGTTTAATTTTGAAACTATCACCATTCTGTAGACTTCGTTTCCGATTCTTCAACTTCTTCAAGAGCAACTTAATTCTGAGACAAATCATCAAACGTGAGTTTTAAACATGAAAATTCAAGAGTTTTAGTAGTATTCTAAGTTTGTTCATTCTCAGTTTTAGTAGTATTCTCAGTTTGTTCTTGTTTGAAAATAAATCCTCATAGCTATCTCTTAAAGTGAAATTGGTATCAGTTTCCCTCCAAGAGAATCTAAGCTATTCTCCTCCTCCAAAAGTCTTTTCTTAAAATTTAAGCCATGAAATATAATTTCAGGATAACTTAAATCGAGGCAGCGTAAGTTAGTATATTATTTATTATATTTGAATGAATAATGATAAAATGATTTCTTGTGCATCACATCCTGTGTTTTCTCCATCAGAGATATGGTGCCGAAGATAAGTCCAAGTACTTAGCGAAGCTGAAAGATCTCGCACAAAGTCCTCAAGAACTGAGTATTACGGATATGCATATTGTGCTGAATATACTAAAGAAGCTGGCAGTAGAACCCGAACTCTACCAAAAGGTAACACTGCTGGAATATTCTTTATTATTTAAATATTCTTCAGTTTAAATATTATTCTGTCTCTTTATCTTCCTGTCTTTTTCGTTATCGTAATATTTGTTTGAGTTCTCAGAAGTCCGGACCACAAGAAAAATGCAAAAGAAAAACGCCAATGCTAATTAATTTTTTCGCTATAATATGCATTCAAAACGATATACACCGCCATCCAAAAGTTAAGGAATAGCATGTTTTCAAATCTCACCGTTACAAAATTGTCAGTAACATTTAAATTCACAGTTCATATGCATGACAGTAACGAAGTTTAAGAAGAAATATGCGAAAACAATAGCTACCATTTTTATTATATAGAAATGAATGCTTATATAGAAGTTTGAGAAAAAAAGTGCAAAAATTATAATTTTTGCGTGTTGATGTTCAGTTGTTATTACAGTTTCGTGGATAACGAGAAGAGTCTATCAATGCCCTGGAGAAGTCGTTTGCCCGATTAATTGAGGTGGCGGGCGATCGGATGGATGGAAATGGGGATGTTCAAGCTGATATTGCTACTTGTTTCAATGTCTCTCGTAGTCCATCGACTGTAGAATCAGTTTGAATCCCAGAATTCTGTGTCTAGAAGACGTGTTCCAGGCAGATGTAAAGTTAAAACATCTGCGGGAGACCATTATTTAGCTCTTTCGCCCCTAAGCAGGCTCAACATTACTGTGCCTCATCTCATCGGAGATCATTTAGTGAGAACAGGAACAAGAATCTCAGCAACTACAGGGGGCAGAAGCCTGCACAATACAGGTCTGTGTGCATGACGACCAGTTGTTAGTGTCCGCTTGACCCGAGGACACAGAGGTGCCCGTTTACGTTCGGCAAGAGAACACGTCTCCTGGACCAGTCAACAATGCTCATTTAAATTACGGGGAACCCAACGACAAACTAGTTTTTTCATATGCAATTCTTCATGAATAATTTTTTGTATGGCGGCGAGGCAGTGCTTATCATCGATTAACATTTTCCGTATAGCAGACACATTATCCCGGATTACTGCTGACAGCGGCCTTCCTATGTGTTCTTCAACGTTGCGACCTCTGTAAAATTCTGTAAACCATCTAAATACAGTAGCACGAGATGGATTTTCATTTAATAATTCTAACTGTAGACGTTGAAAGCATTCTTCTTGATTTAACCCTACTTTAAAATCATAGAATGTCACAGCACGATAATGTTCTAGCGCCAAGTTCATTTTCCCTTCTGCCTAAAATTTATTTACGCTAAACTATTTGCAATTGGCCACTAAAAATCGTCTGCTATGCTAAAATATTTCATATTTTCAAATCTAATACTAATTTTTTTTCTGCCACTTACCTTCTGCGCGTATCTCAGAAATTTCAGATTGACCTCCGTATTATACATGATAGCCATATACACTGTTTTGCTCTTTTGAAAAAAAAAAAAAAAAAAAAAAAAAGATTATGAAGGAAGTGACTATTTTTATTGAAATTAAATATGCATAAAGCTCATATATAGGTGATGAAATGGTTAACAATTGTTGCTCCATATTTTGGAGTTCCGAATTTGGCAGCCTACCATATTCCATGCATGTTCGATTGGTTAAAGGTCTGGTGATCTTGCTGGCCAAGGAAGAGTATTAACAGCTTAGAAACAGTCCGAAGATATACGAACTGTATGGAATCTGGCATTGGGCTGTTGGAAAATGACTCCAGAATGGCGTACCTTGAAGGTTAAAACAAATATCCGCAAGATGCCATTAGCATATCATTGAACCGTTAAAGTTGTATGCAGGATGACCAGCATACAACGGCATTACGACAGCAGGTCGGCCTGCTATCGTAACAGATAACGCCCCACACCATCACACCAGGGGTAATGGCTGTGTGTAAAACAAAGACTGGTTGGTACCGCTGGCCCTAGTACCTCCACACAAGGACCGGATGGTGGCTACCAGCCGATTGGCACCATACAGATTTCGATAAATCCCACTTTAATGTTCGAGCAGATGAAATATAGCAACAAAAATATCAACCATTTTATCGATGTGAGGGATAAGCTTGATGGCAGATTAATAGTTTATCAATACTAAGATTAAAATTTGTTAATAAAAGCAGTAAATTAGTGTGTTCAATACGGGATTTTGTTTCCATCAAAATCTTAAAAAACAGCGCGAAATTTGTAGCGTGATTAGTTTTCTTGTCCTTTAAAAATTCCTGAAAAAGGAAGAATCAGCAATGTCTGTGCCGGGATTCTGCTGTGGGTCTATCGATTACTGGCTGAATGTGTTTTTTAATTTCATTCCGATGTCACACTGTAAAGATGGCAAAAATTCCTTTTACTGTATATAAATATTAAAACTGATGATATTAGAATGAGGTAAACAAAGAATGGTGCTATATTTATTCTCCATGTAAATTTTGAGATTGCCCGTTTAATCAGTTAAATCATACATAATGATTATGTCATTAAGTGTCATTAACTGTAAACTTGCCAGTACTATTCTTGACACTATAAAGGCCCTTGCTACCCTTTTCATGTCTAATTTCTCGTTAGTGATTCTTCGAACGGGTGGTATTGAGCATTTGGAGAATTCCTGGCTTTTCGCCTGTCATAGGTGTTCTCAGTTCTCAGTCACTTTGAGAAATTTTCAGTATCTTAAAGGGGGGGGGGAGATACTTCGGCCTCCAACTGGTGGACTTAAACTGCAAAAAATTTGAAGGCAAAGACATCTAAGTCGTTGTTGAAATATCGTAACCTAAAAGGGCTGAAAAATAGGGATGTATCTTTATTTGTATATATCAAATATATATTCGTTTTTGCCTTAACAACCACATAAATAATATATATGTTTGTTAAATTTAATAAACGTTTAATGTTAAATATCTTTGTATTGTATTTTTTACTGCGTATTTTACTTTTATAGTGTAAAATTTCAATTTTCGGTTTTAATATTAAAAAAATAAAATAAAACTTAGAGTTACAGAAATAATCTTCTGTTGTGTGTTGAGAAAGAAGTATAGAATAAAAAACTATTAGCTATCACTTTTACTGTGTAATATTAGTTTCATGTTTTACAACTTTATATTTTCAGGATCTGAACAGTATGTTCTCTGTCATTGACACTCTCGCAGAAGCTAACACTACGGAGCTGATGGCTGCAAAAAATACCATTCAACTTACTTACAGGTTGCTTTTATCTTTCATTTACTTGGTCTTCATTGCAGAGTGATTTCCGTACAAAACGTTATAGAGTACTCGCAAAGATTTAAAAAAAAAAAAAAAAAAAAAAAAAAAAAATCTGGTGAGGACGCCACATGACTTGCTTGTAGGTCTTTTAAATTATACACATTTTTTGCTGCACTTCATTTACACTTATTTCTTCGAAATTTATTAGAGTTATATTTCTATTCAATCACTTCAGCTGTCACTTCGCGGTAAGGCAAAAATATGTAAAAACTGAAAACATCTTCATTAAAAATTGTAAAATACGGGAAAAAAACTAAAACATCAAACACAGTTAAAAACTACTTTTGCAATTAAAATTAGACTTTCTACAGGAAAATAAGCAATTCAGTCAACGGGCAGAAAAGCAAAATTTTCGGTACACAAAACCTCAAAGTTAATTTTCGGCCTCACTGAGAGAAAAGATGCTGAATTTGTTGTACCAATTGCTTTAATTCATTATACTACTGAGAGTTTCAAATTTAAACAAATAGCCGCCACTTAAAATTTTAAACTGTTGATAATTCTACAACTATTGCATACAAATTAAATAAAGGCATGAAAATCTTAACCGGAACATAATAGCAATATTATTCAATCACTTTTAGAGCGAAAAATGCACAATTTACTAACATTTAAGATTTATTTATTTATTTATTTACCATCAGATGAGCAGCTGCGTCGCCTTTAAGGCATTCAGCTTTTACGCTCAACTGATGGAATAATCTACCAACTGTGTTGTTATATAAAATACAATAAAATTTTAGAATTTTGATAACTACATAATAAAAACTTAATATCAAGAAATAAATATATAAATAATACAATAAATAATTAACATAAATAGATAGAATAAATAAAAGTTAAAATTTTAGAATAAGATAAATACAATATTGTTATATATGAAGTCAATATAGTATTAGAATTTTGAGAATTATATAAATAATTAAAAAAATTATATATATAAATACATAATACCTAAATAAATATGTAAGTAAATGAAACATAAATACCTAAGTAAATATTTAAGAAGATCATTACAAATTTTGAAAATGAACAACATAATGTATGAGAGTAGTAGGGCTGAGAAATGAATTATTTAAGAATAATTTTTACTTCTAACATAAAAGAGGCCTATTTTTCTCAGTGTAATAGCTTTTGACTTTAATGAATTTAAAAAGGGAGATTTTACAATTTATTTAAATATGATGTGATCTTTAATAAACATTTCACTAATCAAATATAATATTTCTTAAAATTGCTACTTAAAATGAGTAATGCTTTAACATTTTATTGAAGAACTCCGTTTGTCGGTGAATGGTGACATTTTTACAATGTCTTTTTTGTTTTAGTAATAAGACGAATCTTATCTGTCGAATTCTTCATCTAAAATTATATAATAATTATATTAATATAATTTTAGTTAGCATTAAAATGTTTTAACTAAAGCAAAACTTGAAATATGCGTTTTATAAAAATCTTCATGAATATATTTTTGAAAGTATACCTATATTTATTAAAGAAACGAAAATCACATACAGCAAATGAAACTTGCTCTTGAGACCTTTTGTTATTGAATCGTGATGTTCGTATTGCCAAATAATATATAAAAAAGTATCTGAGTAATAATTCAAACTTTTCAAGAGTCTTTTCAATTTATTTTGCAATTAACACAGCTATGCACTAAACACGGAATGCTAGATTATGTTTAGAAAATTAAGAATGTATTACTCAGTGCTCCACAATGTAATATTCCTAATTCATGTCCACGGTAATCGCAAAAAATTACAAAATTTTTGCGATTCTAAATTATTAAAGTGCTCATTTTTTGCGATTTTCTAAAATTCTAATTGACGGAAAAATTTTTGCATCTATTAGAATTTTAGAAAATTAATCTTCCCAAAGTTTTGGGCTGAAACGTTTTAACGAGCTTTTAAGTCACGATTCCAGTGGTTTAACTAATGAAACGAAAAGTGAAGATCTGAGTTTTTGAATCTCGAATCTTTCTTGATAATAGAAAAGCTCGAAAATTAGGATGTCTCATTTTAATACTTAAGGTGGATTTTCCAATATTGGAACGCGCTGTTTATAAGAAGTGAGCAAAAACTCTTTCCCTGATTACAAAAGTTTACTGGGCAAAAATGATTGCAATTAAACATATATATATTTTCTTTTTTTAAGGGAAAAAGGTAACTGCAGTAATTAAGACACCTCTTCGTACCATGTTAATTCATTTCAACATGCTCCCTCTTTAAAGCTTGTAGGAAAAAATTAGTATTACATTGCAACATAAATCTTCAAAATTTGCTCTCTAACATTTGGCATAGTATACAGGGTGATTCGCTACCAGACCGACAAACTTGCAGGTCATGTAGAGGATACAGAGACGACTCGGAATCGCATAGGAATGCAAGGTCGCAAATGCCGTAATTGCGAGCTATGGTGCAAAGAAGCAGAGAAAAAGAACAGAAACAGCAACACATTAATGAGACAGAAAACATTTTACTGAAAGGTTGTACTACAACAGGTGTTCAAAATTACGACCAGAAGTCGTCTGGAAGGCCTGAAAGCGGCGCTGCATGCAATTCTTACGTTCTGGAAGATTCTTGCCATGCCACATATCCTCACGACAGCTACAGATGTTCGAACGACGAAGTTTTCAACTGAAGGAAAGGGCATCTCGTACACCAAACTGTTCATGTGATCCCAGAAGAAAAGGTCCATGCATGATAGGCTCAGTAATCTGGCAGGCCAATGAAATGAGTCACCAAAACCTATCCACCGCTGTCCAAATGCTACGTCGAGGTGTCGGCGGACGTTAGTCGTGTAATGTGGAGGAGCCCCGCCGTGTTGGTACCCATGTACCCATGGAGCGGCACAACGACGGAGGAACATGTGCTGCGTCAAGAAGTTCGAGCAGGACTTGTTACAAGAAGATTATGTATGCCTTACCGTCCAAAGGACTGGGCAGAAGGTACGGTCCAGTGAGGTAGTCTGCAGGAATGCCGACCCAAACATTGACCCAGAAACGCTCTTGAGCTGCACGTGGTTGCGTACGATGAGGTTCTCCAAAGCCCGCAATGGGCGTTATGCTGATTGAAGGCTCCCTCACATGTAAGTATGCTTCATACGTGAACAATACGGACGCAGCAAATGCAATATCTATAGCACTCTGTTGCAGGAACCATGTAGCAAACGTCCTCCGGAGTGGATAAACCTCAGGCTCTAATAATTGGACGCGATGAAGATGGTATGTGTTCATTTATTTTGCTGCAAATATCCACCAAACACTGGACTGATTCCAGACAATAAACTCACTTGTTGGGCTATTGATCGAGTACTCGTATTTGGATTGTCTTCTGTCAGACGTTCTGTCCTCATTGCCAGGTGTCCTCATCGTCGCTTAAACAACCACGAATCTACAGTTTCCCTGTAACCTTCTGTTCACACTTGCGAAGGTCGTGTGATGTGGAGCGCGCCTGTTCGGGTAATTTTCGTGGTACAGCGGCGTGGTACAGTTTCGAGCGGCGTATTTGCGCCGAGCGTCGCAGTTCCATACACGATCACAATGTCAACCAGTTCATCGTTTGAATACGTGTTTATCCCACTACTTCGGAAAACGGATTGCAAATGACGACTTTCAGCAGGATTGCTGTTCACACAACCTTCCGTTCAGCGCCATCTACCGCAAAACTGCTGGGAGGAATCTTCCAGAGCGTAAGGAATACCATGGAGCGCCACTGCCAGGTATGCCTGACGACTTTTGGTCATAATTTCGAACACTTGTTTCTGTTTTTTTTTCTCTGCTTCTTTGCACCGTAGCTCGCAACTACGGCATTTGCGACCCTGCATTCCTATGTGGTTTCGAGTCGTCTCTGTACACACGCTGCAAGTTTGTCGGTCTGGCAGGGAATCACTCTGTATATTATTCTGGCCTTCAAAGTATTAATATCACGAATCAGTGTGACAGACATTCGGTCCTAGATTTATCTTCTGTCCTATTCACAACGGAATCAGCTGTCTCATTCTCACAATAGACTTGCTTCTTCTTGGAATGCGGCTAAAAGTATTAGTTTCTTTAAAATGCTTCTTGCCACTTCCTAACATTTAAAGAATTGTATCCAAAAAAAAAACTTCTAAACAGCCGTTCATGAGCGATTTAGTTTTCATGGTATACTACAAAATACACTTAGTGTTTCTCTTTCATGGATACGTTTGTTAGCGCCATGAATTGTGTGGTAAAAAATTTGATGTGTACACCACATGACTTCCTTGTACAGAATATTAAATTATACGCATTTTTCTTGCATTTCATTTAAACTTATTGGATTGAATTAAATCTACTTCGTCGCTAGCGCATAAATCACAATAGCATAAATGCACTCTTTAAAATTCACTATATTTGTTTACCATAGCGACACTGGCGCTAGATTCAGATAACAGCCTTAAATTTCGTTCATCTCATATTATAACCATTACCTTTACCTTCACTCGCATTTAGTTCCAACTACTGTCCCGTATTATAACTCAGAATGCACAAAATTTATATCATTTGAAGAATTATCTAATCGTTGCCACATGTTCTATTCAAATACTATAATAAATCTAGAACGATGTATAAAAGAAATTAAGGTAACAAAACAAAAAAGAAACAGTTTTTCATAGACGATTCAATATTTCTCATTCAATTAATTCAGTTCTCACTTCGCGACAAAGCAAAATACATAAAAACTCAAAATATCTATATTAAAAATTCCGAAATAAATCCTAAACACTTATTTCCTCCAAAAAATTACAGAAAGTATTAAGCATGATTTAATTCGCAATAATAAATGAAGGCGTTATCGTTGTTGTTACGAAGCTTAGTCTCTCTAGATTGGGAAAAAATCTACTATTCTGCTGTTTCAAATGTAAACAAACATCTCCGCCATGTTATTTAAAAATTAGGCTTAACCGCACTTAAA